TAGGGGAGGGAGGCACAAGGTACCAAAGGAACTAAAAAGCCAAACCCACAAGGCCACACCCACTGCACCCAGAAGAGCTTTTGATAGAAGAGCCTGAGTTCTCCCTTCCCTCTTCCCTTTTCACGATTACCCGTCCCCTCTTTTGCAAAGAAAGGCACACTCCTCCCACTCAGAGGCTCCTCCAAGGTACCACAGACAGGAGAAATGTTCATATAGGAGATGCCTTCAGTCAAAGCCTTGACATTAGTATCTTGTCCACTGCTTTGATACATATTTCCAATACGGTTTTAGTTTATAACCAGTTCCTACTTATTAAAAGTACAAGAGTTATTTGAGTTATGCACTAAAAATATTAAAAATAACCCAAAACAGTAGTCTTGAATAATAAAGTGTATTAATGATAATAATTAATTTTAATTTTCTTGTGGAGAATTAAGAATAAAAGTTGGAAACAGTAGGGTTAGAGAAAGGATAGTCCAATTGTTGAGTGTTTGCTTTATAGGCCTGATAACCCGAGTCTGATCACCAGAACATGCATTTTAAAAGAGTGAGGCACGTTCCCTGAGATTGCAATCTGACCAATGGTGGGGAGGCAGAAGCAGCAGATTTCTATAACTTACTAGCCAACCAGCCCATCCCGACGAATGAGTTCCAAGCCTATGAGAAATTCTGTCTCAAGAGAAAATCGGTGATGGATACCTGAGGAATGACCCCCCCCAAAAAAAAAACACACCACACACACACACAATAACACACGCACACACACACACTCTTATACCCAACATAAACAGAAAACAAAATCGGGAAAACATACGTTTAACTATGAAGGTTTTCCACAAAGGGAAAAATTCCTTGATCTTGGTCATGAGGTCCCAACGGCGGCTTCATTTTGTACATTTCAGGCGGAAAGCACAGGAGTAAAGTGTCTACCAAGAACTATGACTCAATGTTATTGGACACCAGGGACTTCTCAGGGCCTCTTTCTGTGTCACAACAATGAATACAGCTCCCTTCCCCCACCAACCCCATACTCATCCCTTCCCCCAGCCCCACCCTTGATCATTTTCAGTTTCTATTTCATCATTTGATGCAATAATTTCTATTATTCTCCTAACGTGTTCTGCAACCCCTGAAGCCCTGAAGACGCGGAAGATACGAGCATTTGGAGAGAGCACACATATCTACACTCAGATCCATAGATGGCCATCACACTGTGGCTATGGACCTCCACCATGTAGCAGGCTAGAACATTTCAAACCCATGAATCTCAACACTCTGGCTCCACTCTGGAGAATGTGTCCAGACACAACCGAAGTGGCCCAATGAACTCCACCTTCCAAATTCTGACCCCAGCACTGACCTGACTTCTAATCAGCTTTTATTATCATTCTGTGTGTCTGCATAATGGAGACCAGAGGCACTGGCGCCCTGGTACATCACGGAGTGGGCTCTCTTTCCGCCTTTACGCAGTTTCATGGTTTGAACTCAGGTCACCAGGCTTGCGTAGCCAGCTCCTTTACTCGACAAGTCACCTTGCTGGCCCAAAATAACACTTTAGAAAGAGATAACATTGTTTAATACAAAGCAAAACAATCACTCAAATGATGGCCAATGCCTGCTTCCTGGCATAGACATGTGTTTTTATATCTCACTGCACTGAACACAAAGAGCCTGACACCCACAAAAACAGCAGTGATAGAGTCAGTCCTGACTTCATCAGGGTCTCCCTAGCTGATCCGACTCCACAGGGATAGGGTCTCCCTTGCTGGATCCTAAGTAAACTAATGTCTCCCTAGATGTCCCTACCTGGATCATAATTAGACCAATGTCTTGCTAGCTGGATCTTAAGTAGACAAATCTCTCCCTTGCTGATCCTACTCCACAGGGATAGGGTCTCCCTTGCTGGATCCTAAGTAGACCAATGTCTCTCTAACTGATCCTACTCCACACAGATGGTGTCTCCCTAGCTGGATACTAAGTAGACCAACATCTTATTAGCTGGATCCTAAGCAGACCAATGTCTCCCTAGCTGGATCCTAAGTAGACCAATGTCTCTCTAACTGATCCTACTCCACAGGGATGGTGTCTCCCTAGCTGGATCCTAAGTAGATCAATGCCTGGCTAGCTGGATCCTAGGTAGATCAGCATCTCCCTAGCTGGATCCTAAGTAGACCAATGCCTGGCTAGCTGGATCCTACTCCACATGGAAGGACATGGAAGCACCACCTTTTGCTCTTTTCCTTTTTGTACAGTAGGAACAAATATTAAACGCATTAGAATTCAATGGGCCTGTGCCTACGGCATGCCAACATGGTGCCCGAGACACCAGAGCCTTCCTGATAGTAACTTTCGGGCTCACATTCGCTTCCTTCTGAACACATTGTTAACAATTCTTACTTCAGTATCTCAATCACGATTTCTAGACCATCCTTGCTTTTCCATCCAATATAACCCAAATACAATTTAAAATAGTCCTTCTATCTGCTGATAACTGCTAACACACATGCACATATTCAAACCTGTAAGATATATAAATACATGCATATGTAATTTTGATATTAGTTGAATGAAACACAATATAAAATACTTATTAGTTAATTGCCTTCCACTTTCTCCCAAAACCCACTCATTTTCCCTCAACACTTCTACAGAACGTTCCCTCACACTAACACTGAGTAGCAGCCATCCCCTGTTGTTGCCAGAGCTGCACAGAGGCTCAGAAGACCTAATGTTGAGGCTAAGAGAAGAGGGAACCGGACGCTTTGCTAACCCCACCACATTAGACTTTCTAAAGAAGCCATCCCAAAGAGCAGCCACTCATGCTCAGTCACGATGCAGCAGGAGACTCTTCTGCTCCCGTCTCTCCTTGAGTCCTACCTTCCTACCTGAATGGATAAAACGACAAGCAGAGGGATTGAGATATAGAAATCAATCCAGGTTTGCCCATTATGAGCCATTATTTAAAATCTGAATCACACTAAGCAGATAGTTTCATTCAGGGACCATAAATTTTTTCCAAGGGATCAAACACATATAGAAATTATTTGATTATGATCTTTCAATATGTAATTAAGAGTATCAGCTGCAGAAGTAACTTGAAACCAAAACTAACATCATAACATTGGTCCAAATAAAGTGGTAATTGTCACTATCAAACTGTGGGAAATAGTTCAATGGGGATAATTCATTTTTTTTATCAGCATTGCAATCTTAGGTCTGTCTGGGTCAGAAGAGGTCAACCCTCCCAAGCCCTGTTTCCTTGCATAAATTATTGGAGTTAGTTTACAGAGTGATTACTAAATGCACACTTATTTATATATACTGGGTGCTCCATGTGACACTTTCTAAGCAAGTGTATACTTAGAACAATATTTAGAGCTTAGAGTTTAACTCGTTGGCGGTAACGCATGTTACTACCCAATTCAGGCTATGGTGAAGACTATATTTCCTGTATGGTCAGTAGCCACCGTTCAGAAGAATGGTTGACAAAATGCAAGAGCAGAGAAATCTAGGAGACATCAGACAGAGGTCTAAAGTCTAAAACGTTTTAAAAGGCTAGGATCGGATGCCCTTCAATAGAGCTGATTAGCATCACAAACATTTCCCTCCGGAAAATCTACATCTGCAGAGTTCCTTTTCAGCCTTCCTGACGTTGCTGAGAGGCAGCACACCTTAGCTGAAGTGCTTGCCAAGGTCAAAATTCTTCAGTCTCCAAATTCTGTTTCAGTAACCTTAAGCCATCTTTTTAATCTTCAAAATTAGTTTATAAAAATACGTGTCACTGACAAATTTTATATCATGCAATGCAGATATTGACATTTCCTATCATTGAAACAAGACTTAAAAAAAACCCGTAGCATTTTTCCTCTAACCCACCAGTACTAGCTGCCCATCACACTGTAAAGCTGTCCCCAGCAATAACATCCAAACTATGAAAAAGCTGTCAGAAACCTGAGCTAGGGAAAACCTACCCCCTATCAGTTCCAAAACAGATCACAAGGCAAGAGGTCCCATGGGAGTCCAACTGCAAACTCCCAGAAGAAAAAAGAGAGAAGCACAAAATCAGGACCTGCTCACACACTTAGAACATGCCTGAAGCACTTTCTGATGCTCCGACATTAAGTAAAATTCCTGATTTTTATTTTTTTTTCACACTAAAAGCCTAAAATGACTATTGCTTTGACTCTCGTCCTTTATTTTCTATTGGCATTCCTTCTGCAATAGCTTCCCCTCTTTATGAAGCCCACTCAGCTTTCTTCAGGGAATCCTCTAAATTATTCAATGCTAATAAGGATCTAACTTGCAGCCTCACACAGAAAGATGGCTAATCTTATTTATCTGACTATTTACCAAATCAAAACAGAGAACCCAGCAAGTACAATCAGACCTCCCCTGCTACAGACGAAGGTGAGGGTGGGTGAAAGGCAGAGACCTGCCGCCCAAGAGAAAATCAGAAATCAGTAAGTCACCAGTGGAAGCAGCTGGAGGCAGACACTTGCTTCACTCCCACTCTGACGACTCTGCGAAGAGTCTGGAACCTGCCTTGTTTACAGTGTTTACATGTTTCCTTGTCCTGGGAAGTCAGTACAACCTTAAAACAACACAGGGATTATAGAAATTCTTTTGACCTTCTCATTCCTGCAGAGTTGCAGCCTCAAAATCACTTGAAAAAGTTAGCCGGGTTTTCATCTAACGCCCCCGTGAGTACGGATTCGATTTCAGGACAATTTTCCAGCATTGCTTCCCTTCGGTATGGCATTACAAACAGACAACTATGGTGATAAGCTTTAGGTGATTCGAGCTAAATTGTGGCTAATCCAGACCCAGACCTATGGCCATCCTTGCTCATTTCTTTCCCTTAGAAGACGCATCTTCATCAAGGAAGAGGTGAGTTTTGAAAATGGAAAGAGAGAGAGAGAGAGAGTCCAGAGCACGCATCCATTCACCAGGGCCAGCAGAAGTTTGGAAGGGGAATGTGGAAAGGAGAGAAGCGCTGGTACCTTTCCTGACCTCTCTGAGCTCCTCGGGTAGATGGGGAACTCAGCCTTCCAAGCAGCAGGATCCCGTCTTCGTCCAACTCTGCAGCTGGGCGGGGGCAGACAGACGCGCGTTGCTCCCCCTGGGCCTGCCCTGGCAAGGTCCCTGCAGCGCGGAGCGAGGTACACCACAAGCTGCAGGGCGCAGCGGGCTGGTGAGACTCGCAGGAGGACCGGCAAGCTGCCCTACTCTGCAAGGGGAAAATGTAGAGGAGAACCCCGGAGAAGAATGGCTGGACAGAAGGGAAAACACTCTGCGTATAGTGCCACTGAGTACTGAAGTCTCGGTCAAGAGGGCGGGGCGCCTTGGCCCGCAGCTGGTGGGGAAGAAGGGTGCCTGAGCAGAGCCAGAGCTGGGAGGGGCCCCGGGCGTAGGCTTTCGGGAAAACTTCCATTGTTGATCCACCACCACCATCACCACCGCCTCCCATTCTGTACCTCCATCGAGTTCTGGCGGCAGGGTGCGTGGCGGCGGCAGCCAGTGTGAGCAATCAAGGTACGAGGGGCGAATCAGCTGGGGTTTCCCCGGTTTCCCAGTGCGCTTTCCAGCTGGGGAGTCCCAACCCCAGCTAAAAGAAAAGTGAAAGAAAAAGATCCCAAGCTGAGTCGGAGATCAACATCCTGGAGGAGCCTCCGGGAGGGGCACCCGCTCCCGGGCCACCGCACCAGGTGCCCACATGATTCTGCCACTGCCAGGCCCCCAGGGCACAGAACCTGAAGGGCGACTGAGAGCAGAGAGCATTCCCCGCCCCTCTGGGCAGTTGGCCACAGCCTCTGTGTGTCCTGGAACATCTTGGCCTTCTGTGAAGTCTCAAGGAGCTGGCGTGAGTTCACAGGTTGCGGGCACCCACAGCAACTGGTCGTGGAGGAAGGCGGGAAGCCTTGGAGGGCGGCTGGAAGGCTTTCCCCAGAAAAACCCTAAGAACTGTACTCAGCCCCGCACCGGGAGGATTGGGTCTGGAATGGGCGGGCCTCCAGAACAACCCTTGACCGGCTGCAGAGTCAGGAAAAGGGAAGTTTCTGAACTCTTCTTACTAGAAGCTATCTGGGGGACTTTTTGGAAAGGAGAGTAACCTTCCACTAAATGGACCCCTCTTGGATTACTCTTCCACCCTGATTTGTAGTTGAATGTAAAACATTGCACTTGTCTTTAACAAGGCATGGTTACAGCAGCATCCTTTCTCTGGAAGTTAGGAATGGTTGTATTAATGGGGAGTCAACTACCCGTCCATTGCAGGCTGTAGGAGAGCCTGGATTCTCAGCTTTGCAGGCTCCTCCGAGCGTATGAATCACTGAAAAGCCCCAGTGGCTTAGGTTTTCCAAAACTTTTAAGAAAGCCAGGAGAGATGACAAGACCCCCTGGCGATTAGTTAAAAATGCAACTATGTTTTCTTTTTTTAAATGGTAAAACTAAAATATTTGAATAATTAAATATTGCCTTGCACGGCATTCCTCATAAAATCATTTTTATGAGGAGCTCGCTTTCACAAGCTTATCTTATGTCACTTGGCGTTTACAGCTGAAACGGTAACTAACAGACGTTTTGGTAACAATCAGGCCAAACTTCATCAAAAGGGAAACCACGTATTTTTACAACCATTCAAAATTTTACTACCATTATAAATCGCATTTGAAGAAATGTGAGAATCTAACTGGAGAAATGACCCAGTGTGGTTGAGAATGCTTGGTGCTCTGGCAGAGGACTGACGCTCCATTCCCAGGACCCTCGTGAGACGGTCCACAATCACCTGTAACTCCCGCTCCAGAGGATCCAACAGCTCTGGCCTCCTGAGGTACCTGCGCTTGACCTGTGCGCACAGAGAAGGGGGGTGGGGAGGGAGGCAGGGAAGATAAATACATTTATTAAAAAATCAAAATGGGGAAATCATATTTTGAACGTAACATTATAACGAGTTTTCTCGAACAATGCCGATGAGTTTCCAGCCCTATCACTTTTTTCCCACGGTAAGCTGAAGCTCCGCTTTGCCAAATGAGCATGCGCTGAGAACGGCCCTGAAGCAGGACTTATGTCCATCCCAGGGCTGTAACCGCAGCGAGCACTCCAGCATGAGTTACCTAGAGGTTACCCAGTAGGTCGCTCCCCTAAGCCTCAGCTTGGTCCACTTGCTACAGAGCTGTGTATACTCTTGCAATGGTGATTCTTCTCACACCTCCCTTGAGCGCTTCATGGCTTCCGTGTGCTCTGCAGCTGGTAGAGGACTCAATGCCTGGACCATAGCCAGTGCCTCCTAGCCCGGCCAGATGTTGCTGCCACCGGAAGACACAATAGATCCCAAAGTGTCCTCTTCTGTTGGTGTGCTCCACGGGGGCAGCTGCTTTCAGTCAGACTTACACCAGTCCTGCGATCCAGGCCATACTGACTGTCCCCAGGACTGACCAGGCATGTCTGCCTGACAAGACACTTTTCACGGCCGCATCCGTCACCATGTGTTCTGAACTAATGGAGAATTTCCATAACACTTCATGAAACCAGCGAGCACTTCATCTCAAAAGTGATCTCAGTCTATAAAAACAGTAAAACCTCATGAAAACTACTAACTCCATACACATATGGAGATGTCTACGGATGTGGGTACTCCGTGGATGTCATATGGAGATGTTTATGGATATGGGTACTCCATGGATGTATGCAGTGGGTTCTGGATAAGGTGCTGGATGACATAGGAGGTGTTTATGCAGATCCATGGTAAAAATAACACCAGTGACAATAAAGTCAAATGGAGCATTGGAGTCACAGGGCACACTGTGTCCTTCTAGTGCCTCTCAAATACGTAGGGCAAATTTGCTTTCTTAATTACAGATAAGAAGGAAGTTTTTAATTACTCACAAGTGCCTGTAGTCCAATGGCATTCGCTTCGCGGCATAATTTGCTTTTGTTGCGTTCTACTCCAACAGAAAGGCTTAATATATGCAGCTTGTATTTTCACTTGCCACAGGCTGTTTGGCAAGATATCGAAAATTACTCACTCCAGTGAGCAAATAAATTCCACCACATAAATTAAAAGAAAAAACCAAGGCTGATGAAACAGTCTTAGCATCGCCTTAGGAGAGCTTTGGCCATTAAGACATGGAAAGGACTGAGAGCCAACAAACTGAAGCAAGCAGAGCCGGCCAGAGCAGCGATTTTCAGAGGATGAACAGAGAAGTCAGAGTTTAGAAAGCTAAATAAAATGTCTGGTTGTTCTCTGAAGATTAACTTTGCCGTCTTTAAAATAAGTTGCCAGATGAGTGTGGTGGCTCGTGTCCATCGGCCAGTGTTTAGGATTCTGAGCTACGAGTTCGGTGCTTACCTGGCCTACAGCATGAGACGCTGCCTCAAAAAAAAAAAAAAAAAAAGAAAGAAAGAAATGACTTAATAATTATTTTTTCAATAGATTTTTAAGTAAAAGAAGAAGTTAAATATTAGCCCATAGCTGATTCATTTATCTTTTATATTATTTATAGTCCCCTAGTTAGTTACAGGGTGGAATACGTTGGTCTTTGGAAAGAGGCCTGTCCTAACTCAAGTTTCCTTGATATTATGTCAAAAATGTGCAAGCCTGAAAGATGCAGTGGCCCTTCCTCTCTTCTTCCTTCCTCCCTCCCTCCTCCACCCCTCCTTCTTCCTTCCTCCCTCCCGCCTTCACTCCTCCCCTCTCTCCCTCTTTACCTCCCCCATGGTAAGGAAGATCACTTGCTTGTCAAGATGAGCTCGTTTTTCAATCATCTTGAGGGCCATGGGAAATTGAGCGATGCCAACTATTGCTTCTGGACATCTTACACAGTGTTTCTGGTCCCACTGTATTTTAAATTTTTTTTAGTTTCATTTCACATACCAATGAGGTACCTATACTATCAAATTCTATGCACACGTACAAATAAGCACGGGCATTAGCACATGTGTGCTCATAAGCAACATTCGGGGGTATAGTAGAGATTATCATCTTGTTTGACCAATGTTACATTGGGGTAGAGGGTGATTCTGTATTTGTTTCTCTCTTACTGTTTTGTTCATTTTTCTTTTGTTTTGATTTTCTTTTCCATGCACCTCATGTTGCGTGGCAGTTGACTGGTGAGGTCGTGAACTTAAGATATTTAGCCTGAGAACGGACCTCTGTGTTCTGCTTCTTCTGCACTGATAACCGCATGCGGCTGCTTCTGAAACACAGGCTGGCGAAGAAATAATCCAGGGCCTCACAGGTGCGCTCTCTCGAGGAGTTTACCCCCCCCCCCCGGATGCTCCTCAATTGCCTTGAATTTCCACCTGCTGAGCTCTTTGTGTTTCTGTAATGAAAGTGCCCCGACTATGGCAGCCCTGCTTCAAAACGTGGGTCATTTGAATAAAGTGATTGACAGCAGGCTGGCAGAGAGCTGCTGAAAAGTTAAAAGCTACACCACCACTGGCAGACAGGTTGCTGCTAGTTGTTAATCAGATGGGCAACGGTATTGAAGTGTGATATCTGGGTGTATCCATGGCAAAGTAAGAGATGACACCTGGTTCAAGGTGGGGAGGAATAGACGTAGAATGTTTTCGCAGGAATCTCAGAACACGTGCAGGAGGAACAAGCGATTTCAATAGAAACAGCACGTGGACTCATTCGGTAATAGACCTATTCTGAACACGCTTCTAAAATTGACCTTCCCAATCAGAATCCAATGCGAAACACGTAAATCGCCCCTCTTAGATTTCTCACTTGAGCATATAAAGAGGAAAATCGATATTGTTGACATTTATTTCAATACTCCGTATCACATATACTTGTTGGCAATGACAAACACGCTTGAAATTATTGTCTGACTTATTTTGTTGCTGTTACTTATTAGATGAGGGTGGAGGCGTGGGCACATGCCAGGCACACATCTGGAACTCGGTAAGAGAACAGCACATTGCAGTGCCCTGATTTGCCAAGCAACAGCGTTCTCATCAGAAAGATCACAAGACTGCTTTGGGGGTTATGTTCAGATTAAACCGAGCCCCCCTTTCCCTCCTCTCTTTCCTTATACCAAAATCAATTCAAATTCATCAAAGGCATAAATAGAAAAAATTAAAACTATGTAACTAAATGTACATTAGTCAAGATTCTCTAGATCAGTTCTTAACCTCCCTAACGCTGGGACCCTTCAATACAGTCCTTCATGTTATGGTGACCTCCAACCATAAAATTATTTTTGTCATTGCTACTGTTAAAATAGCACTGTAAAAATTTTTTGGAGCAGGAGGTATGCTGTATAAATTGGACAAGGAGGGCTCACAAAATAAAAAATGACTGTTAAAGTTGCCTAAAGAATGTTAGACAGTCCTTCAGGGTTTTTGCTTCATAATAGAGTCTGCCAGACATCCTGCAGGACCCAGAAAAAAGTGACTGACAAACTGCAAATATCGATGGAACTGTCTTTGAAATTTCCTGCTTCATAAAAACATCTGCCAAATACTATGAGCCTGTAGGCTGAAGATGGGTGCCCCAATGTTACAAAGGAACTTTGGGTGACTGTTCAGACAGTGAGATGTCTTTGTCAATTCTAGGGTTTTAAAAGTTGCTTACAATGCACTTCCTGTTTACTTAGGTAATATTATATCCTTTTGGAGTTTAAAAGATAATTATAAATATAAAAACTAAATTAGATGTAAAACTTCAGACTCACAAAATAAGATAGATGATAGAATATTTTCTTAATTAGCCAAAAGTAAATAGACTAAATATTTTAACTATTATTCTTGCTTAATAACTGTTTCCTTGTATGTAATTTTACTATGTTAAAATTAAAACTTTCCTTTTTATTTGAACAAAAAATGGAAAATGGTGTGGGAAGTCCTTCTGTATATATGTTGCTTTTATTGGCTAGTAAATAAAGCTGCTTTGGCCGACGGGCAGGACAAAATAGAGTAAGACAGGAATTCCAAGCATATAGAGGAGGGGAAAAGGCAGAGTCAGGGAAATGCCATATAGCTGCAAAAGGAGACAGATGCCACCCAAACCTTACCATTAAACCATGAGCCTCATGGTAAAAAATTAAGTAATAAAAATGGGTTAATTTAGGATGTAAGAGTTAGTTAATAAAAAGCCTAAGCAAACAGGCCGAGCCGTGTTTTAATATAGTTTCTGTGTGATTATTTTGGGTCTAGGAGGTTGAAAAACAAACGAGCAGTCTCTGCCTACACAGATCCAGTCAAGATGACAACCAAAATGAACCATCACAATGGAATTCTTTTTTTAAAATCATATGACAAACTTTTCAAGGCAGTTTTTTAGAACAAAT